GTCTTCTCTTCTTTTCTTGTCTTTTTAGTGATCTCTTGCTTTCTTCATGGATAATGTTCTTGATATCTTCCCATAATTCATCTGGCTTCCGGTCATTGGTGTTCAATGCATCACATCTATTCTTAATCATTATATAATGTTCTTCCTTGTCTTTAATGGTGGTTTTTTTTTTAAAGTCTATTTTATCAGAAATTAATATTGCCACTCCTGCTCTTTTTTGATTGCAGTTTGCTTGATCTATCTTTTTCCAACCTTTGATTTTTAGTCTGTTTTTATCTTTGTGTCTAAGGTGAGTCTGTTACAGACAGCATATTGTTGGATCATGTTTTCTTATCCAGTCTACAACTTTTCCATCTCTTGAGTGGTGCATTTAATTCATTTACATTCAGTGTTAATTATAGACAACTGTGAATTTATTAATGTCATTTTATTATGTTTTGTGTGTGTGTGTGTGTGTGTGTATGGTGTTGCCAATCTCTTTGTTCCATAAAATTTTCTATGCTGAGCTTATTTTGTTTATGAATTTTGTTGTCATTTCCATTGTTGGTATTGTGTATTTAGTATTAGCTAAATATTTTTATGTCTCCTCTTATTTTGATGTGAAGATTTATCATTTTTCTTTGAGTTTACCCTATGATTTATAGTTTTCTTCCCAAGTTGTGAACAGTCTGTTCTATCTTGCAGTTGTCTTGAGTTCCTTGCCATTTGGAAGTTCTGTATCTACACTGTTTATTTCTTCCTTTTGATTTGTAATTGCCCTCATTTGCCAATTTATGTTTCCGGTTCCTTGTTTACAGTCTTGTAAACTAATTTTACTTTGGATACTTCTGTAATTGTGTTGGTTTCTAGGTTATGTCATCATTGTGTGTTAATCATGACTTGTTGTCTGCTGTAGTTGTTCCTCTTTCTGAAGGGCTCCCTTTAGCATCTGTTGTAAGGTTAATCTAGTTTTAACAAATCCCCTTAATTTCTGTTTATCTGGAAATGTCCTAATTTCACCATCATACATGAGGGACAGTTTTGCTGGATATATAATTCTTGGTTGGCAGTTTTTTTTTCAGGGTTTTATATATATCATCCCATTGCCTTCTCACCTGCATGGTTTCTGCCAAGAAATCAGAGCTTAGTCTTATTGGCTATCCTTTGTAGGTAATTTTCCCTTTTTCTCATGCTGTTTTCAGGATTCTTTCTTTGTCTTTGGTTTTGGTGAGTTTGATGATTATATGTCTCAGTGATTTTCTTTTGGGGTCTATCCTGTTTAGGGTTCATTCAACTTCTTGAATTAATGCCTTCTTGTTTTGCATCATATTAGGAAAATTCTCTTCCAACAAATCTTCAGCAATTTTCTCTGTGGTTTTATTTGTCTCTTCTTGTTCAGGACTTCAATTACAAGTAGGTTATTCCTCTTGATAGTATTCCACATGAATCTTAAGCTTTCTTCATTTTGTTGTGATCTTTTTTCTGATTGATCCCTTAACAAAGTAGTATTAAGATACTTATCTTCAGTCTCATTAATTCTGTCTTCCATTGATTCGATTCTACTCCTTTGCCTGTTTAACATGTTATCTGTTTCTGAAGTCTTAGTATTAATCTTCTGGATTTCTATTTATTGTCTTTGTATCATTTCTGATTTTTTGTTTATTTTGTCAGTTTGCTCCTGTATTGTTTTCCTAAACTGTTCTACAGTTTTTTCTATTTTCCTTAATTTTGTCAGTGTTTTCCTTGATCTGTCTCTCAGCCTGTTGAAGGTACCTAAATTCTTTTGATTTCCTTATCAGGGAGTTCTTATGCTGCTTTTTCCTCAGGGATGTTTTCTGGGTTTATATCCTGGTCCCTTGTTTGTACTACTTTGTCTTTTTTATGTAGACTGGGATGGTAAGTTGTCTTTGAGAAGTTGTGATGCTTTTGTATTTATGTTTAATTCATGGTTGTATGTTGGTGTGATTCACCCAAGATTTTCTTTTCCTTTATTTTGTTTTGTTTTGATATATCTGTGTAAGCAGGGTACTGTGCTCCTCTATTTGCTAGTTTGTAAAACTTAGGTCCTCACCACCTGTCTCCTTGTGGTGTGATAGAGAATGAGTGTGTGTGCACAGATCTTTTTTAGCTGTTTGTCAAGAGCAGTTGAGGGTGAGTTGTGCTGGTATTGGTTACTGTCTGTTCAGTTTGTGCAGAAGCAAGTGGTGGCCCTCACTCAGTGGATGGAACTGCAGGAGGTGCAGGTATGATTGGGTTGTATGGGAACAGTTGCTATCTCCCACTAAGTTAGACAAAAGACAAAAAAAAAAAAGGCAAAAAATGAGAAGAAAAATTTTTTAAATGTATTGTGATAGCTAAGTTTATGTGTCAACTTGGCTGGGCCTCATTGAGTGGCTGGGCAGCTGGATGTAGTATTTCCCATTATGAGACTGGTAATCAACTCCATGGTGGAATCTACTGTGAGCAGCTGAATAGCTGCCTTTGGGTTTGTGGTCTGCTTCCTGTATATAAGTAGCAGCTTTGGGAACAGTCTCTAGCTTATGGTACCTTGAACCCTGCATGTAGCCATGTTGTTGTTCAGCAGCCTGCCATGCTCTGCCAACCTTGGGAGTTAAAATAGACTTGAATTAATGGCCTGCCTTGTGATTTGGTAATATTGGGACTATGCCTTTTTATTTCTCAGCCTTGGGCTTGGCAGCCTCAGCAGCAAGCAGCTGTCTCAGTGAAGAAAAGCCTTCTAGCTTCAGTGGGCTGGGAGCTGGAGGCAGAGTTGAAGTCCAAGGCTGAGGGGTTCACGCCCAGCCCCTAGAGGCTGGCACTTTGAACTGGACTTCTAGCCTCCCGAACTGTGAGAGAATAAACTCCTGTTTGTTCAAGCCATCCCATTTGTGGTATATTCTTGTCAGAGCAGCACTAGGTAACCAAAACATCTATTAAAAAGAAAACAAAGATAATGAGAAAAAAAGAAATTCACAATACCTTTCTAGTGTCAGCCTCCAGTGCAGTTGCCCATGCTGTCCTCAGCAAGTGGAGCCTATTCTTAAGTTGCTCCCAGGTGAAAATGCTGCTTGCATATATTTAAAATGCCTGCACCACCTGCAAATATTCAAAATGGCTGCATTGTCAGGATAGCCAGTGGTCCATAGCTCTGTCTCCTTCTTTGCTGTTTTCTTTTCTAGTTGTCAGGCACCAGTGTCAGGCACCACAGCACAGTCCTTGGGGAACAGAGCCAATTCTTAGGTTGCTGCCAGATTGGGACGCCACTTGCATATATTCAAAATGGCTGTGTCTTCAGGATAGTCAGCAGTCTGTAACTCTGTTTATCTCCTTATTCACTATTTTCATTCAGCTTCTTCTGCTAGTCGGTATTTAACCCACTTCTTTATCCTGCCTTCAAAGCTCTGAGTTCCAGGATTGTCTTCTTTATTGGTTTCAGTTGACTTCTCATTTCTTTGTTGCAGAGAGTCTGTGCAACTTGTCTGCCTATTCTTCCATCTTGTCAGAAGTCCTATACTCAGTAATTTACTCTTGATTATACGAGCACATTTAAAATTCTTAATTGATTTTTACTGGGCCAGTAAATGAATTTTGGGGCTTATCTTTCCATTTCTACATTATTTTGATATGTTCTAAGAATACAAAGTAACTTGGATTATTTGGTTATTTTTATTATTTATTTTTTTTTAATTACTCATACCACTACTTACTTTTTATTAGGGTATTTATTCAAAAACTTAATATACATGCATTCATTTATTCAACAAAAACCTCCGTCTGTCTCTTTATGAGGATTATTAACTCTTCACTGTTAAGAGGATTTCCTTGGAGTACATGTATTTTTCAGCTTTTTAGTTATTGACCCCGTCTTACTGATTGAAGGGAAAAGAACAAAACTAGGGTTATCAGATTTCAGGAAAGGAGTTTTTGTGTGCAAAAATGGCACTATTAAAATTGAATTATTGAATTCACTTTGGCAAATGTTGTGTTTTATTTTTACAGCAATTTAAAAAAATATGTATCACCATTAGTCAAATAAATTTTTGGACCTTTTCTTTGAGATTAACTCTAGAACCACTGTAGGAGTTCCGGTGACACAGTGGTTGAGCATGTAGCTGCTAACTGAAAGGTTGGTGGTTTATACCCATGAGCTGCTTTGCTGAAGACAAATGAGGCAGCCTGCTTCTGTAAAGACTTAAAGCTTTGGAAACCCTACGGGGCAATTCTCTGTCCTGTAGGGTCACTGTGAGAAGGAACTGATTCAATGGCAGTGGGTTTGGTTTTTGAATTTAGAGCCAGTTTGGGTCACGTACAAATATCGTTCATATTGCTTTATAATCAACCCTAGTTTTTTATATCCCCCTCCAAATTTGCTTGCTTGTTCATTCATCTTGACATTGAATGACTTAGCTTTCTGAAAATAAAATTTACCCTTAAAAGTGGTAATTGCCTTTGAAGATACTTAAAACAATGTGTTAGAGGTAGTTTTAGTAATAAAAATAAGATCATGCCTCCAAGAAGAAGGTACCCCTCTTCTGCATGTAACTTCTAGCACATTTATTAAAAGTGACCTTGAAGATGTTCTCTGTTAAGTGTGTAGCAGAATTCACCTAACCAATATCTGTCTAAACTTGACTTTAGATGATTCTGTCATTTAATTTTTGCTCTTTTCCTCCACCAGGTATATAATGTTTACATGGCAGGGAGGCAACTATGTTCTAAGCGGTACCGGGAATTTGCCATTCTACACCAGAACCTGAAGAGAGAATTTGCCAACTTTACATTTCCTAGACTTCCAGGGAAATGGCCATTCTCATTATCAGAACAGCAATTAGATGCCCGACGTCGGGGCTTAGAAGAATATCTAGAAAAAGGTAAGCCACCTCATTGATCTCTAATGTCCTGAGTAGACATTGGGTCTAGGTATATAGTGCAACTTCTAACTTTCATAGCTAAGTTTCCTGTAACTCAGTATAACATAAGTTAAGTTTCTGACTATAGATGTTTAATGATCTGAGCTTTGAAGGCTCCAGATAAAAAATATCCAGTACTGTGATTAGTAGTCTATGTTTTATTGGCTTATTAGACATTTAACAACAGAAAAATGTATGATTAGTTTTTGTCACATTAAGGGCCTTTATTTATAGGATTATATTATTTGCCTGTAAATACATACAGTTTATACTCACCAGTGTGCTGAATTGATTAGGGAACTAAGTAGACATTATTGAAGACATTTAGTGAAAATGACTCTCAGCTCACTGGCGTATCCTACATAAAAACCCCTTCCTCGTCTTATAGGTCTTCTTGGATAAGTTTGCTGAGTTTTAGGTAATCTAAAGTCCCCTTGCTCTAAGCAGGTTATAGGTAGAACTATTGAAATGTACTTGTTATCTAGGAGTTTCCAAACAATACGTAGGAGTTTGTAGATGCTGAAGCATTTGTTTATCATAAGATGGCAAGAAAATGACACAGATCTCCTAAATAAGATAATTCCTTTTGTAGCTCAGAAAAGAGATCTTGCCTTATATATTATCATTATACAATTTGTTAGCTGCTTTACAAGTTTTTCTTTAAAACATTAATTTAACAAGATAATGGTCTTAACTGGTATTTGGTTATTCTGTGTCTTTGTGTTCTTGTATAAGAATTAATTGACCTAATTGGATTTTAGGAGCTCTGGTAGCATAGTGGCTAAAGCACTTCACTGCTAACCAGAAGGCTGGCGGTTCAAACCCACCAGCCACTCCTCGGAAGGAAGGTTGGGCAATCCTACTTCCGTAGTGATACTGCCTCGGAAACCCAAGGAGGGGTCGCTATGAGTCGGGGCCGACTCGATGGCACATAACAACAACAACAACAACAATTGGATTTTAGAAAAAAAATTTGGTAGAGAGCCTTATCCCTGAAAACAATTTCCCCCATAGAAAGCAGTGTAACTTCCTCATTCATTTTTTTACCTTTTTTTCCAACATAGAATGGCCTCTTAAAATAGCCCTTGGGAAATGAGAAAGGGTATAATTTTTTTAATCAAAAAGAAGTAGAAATCATTAGTGTAATTTACCATCCTCCTGAGAATGTCAGGAAATTAACTTTGTGAGATATGGACCATTACCTACCTACCTGCCTGCTTTCCTTCCTTCCTTTCTCTTTTTTATTGGGGGTGGGGTGGTATGGATAGGGGTGGTTGTTGTTTTGAAGCTGAAGAATAGAGGTTTAAAAAAAACTATGCTCCGTCTGCTGACAAGGGAAAAGGTTGTACTCACTTCTTGGACACAGCCAGCTACCAGAGGGAGCAAGTAGTTGGACCTGTGGGCTCAGGACCGTAGTCACAGGGGACATCAAGCTCAATTGGCATAAAATACTGCCAAAAACGTTGTTCCATATCCTACTTTGGCGAGTAGTGACTAGGATCTTAAAAGTTTGCAACAATGGGTCTCTCCTCATCCAGAACAAAGAAGAAGAAAGAAAAACCAAAGACGCATGGAAACAGTTAGTCCAAGCAACTGGTACACCATGTGATCCTCAGCCTATATGACTGAAGAACTAGGTGGTGCCCAGCTACCACTGTCAACCACTTGGAGGGGGATCTATGTAGGACATCCTGGATAGAGAGTGAGAACAATGTGGAACAAAACTCAAAATCATTAAAAAACTAAACTAAAATAAAAAGGGACCAGATTTGCTGGTCTGATAGAGCCTAATGGAACCACTGAGGCTGTGGCCCCTAGCTGCCCTTCAGGTCTGGAATTGAACCCATTCCTGTGGCTTCCAGCCAAACAAAAGACAGGCGTATGAGCTGAACATTTACACTAGGTAATTACACTCCTTGGAGAGGTCAATCATGGGAGAATAGAAGGGCAGTATATGCACAGGGAGACAGCTCAGGGGCCAGGAGTGCATGGAGGGAAGGACACAGGGAAAAGGTAACTATGGGGAGGAAGTGGAAGGGGAGCTATTGCATTGTGGGAAATTATAGTCAATGTCATGAGACAAAGTGTATGTGAGTTGCTGTATGGAAAGTGAATTTGCTCTGTAAACTTCACCCAAATCACAATTTAAAAAATACACACATACACACACACAGTCTATAATACTTAATTGCTTACTCATTTTTCCCAAAGTGTCTTTAAATGTTTTTAGTTCTTGAACTTATCTATTCCTAGGCCAAATGAATACTATCATTTTGTATTTCAGTTTTGTATTTGGTTTATTCCAGACTCACCTTTCCTTCCACTACCTCTTTTCCCCCATGCTTTAGCTTGTTAATAGTTCACACAAGATTGCAAAGTTATATTTACTGAACTTTTTTTTTTCCCACCTGGATGACTGCCTTTGGCTATGTTTAATATTTTTGGCAAGCTGCATCATTGTACCTTCTATTATTCCTCTGTTCTAGACCATATTTAGATGAGTGACTAGCATGTCTTAAAATTCCATGTGCCAGGGATGACATGGTGCCTCAGCATTGCCTACTACTGATGATTTATCCTTAACCTTGATACATTCTTGACTTTATGTTCTTAATTTTAAGGCCTCATGACAGATTTTATCTTTGTTTTCTATAGTGTGTTCAATACGTGTCATTGGTGAGAGTGACATCATGCAGGAATTTCTGTCAGAATCAGATGAGGTAGGTGAATAACCCTTATAATGACTATTTGCTTCTTGGCTCCACATAGGGGGAAAAAGGACAATATCAATTATGGATTGAATTGCCAAAAACTCTCCAACTATTTTTTCACCATCTTTTTTATATGGATCCTGCTTTTCCTTCAAGACCTTATGGCAAATCTATCTTCTCTTTGAAGCCTTCTCTGATGACTCAAGTTGTCGATTTTTCATTTCATCAAGAACTTTTTTAGTACCGTTCAATTAACTTGCTGCTATCTCATTCTCTAATAATAAGATTATTACTTTATAGTCTTACCTTATTAGACTAGTTAGGAATCTGGGATGGTACAAACGAATAAGCCCTTGGCTACTAACTGAAAGGTCGGTGATTCAGATCTACCCAGAGGCCCCTCAGAAGAAAGTGCTGGCAGTCTGTTTGGGAAAGATCATCAAAAATTCAGTGGTGCCTAGTTCTACTTTGAAACACATGGGGTTTCCATGAGTTGGAATCTGGCATGAGTGGCAACTGGTTTTTTGCTTTTGTGTTTTTTAGAGTGTGAGCTACCTATAGGTAAGATCTAAATCTTGACGGTCTTTATATCCCACTGCCTACCACACCGTCAAGCATATTATAGGTGCTTAATAAATATTAACTGAATGGGAGAATGACTAATAAATGCTAATATATTAAATAGTGTATTATCTACTCATTATTTTATCTGTGTATGTCTTTTCTTCCCAGCTAGCTTATAAGTTTCTTGCAGACAAGGACTTAAAATAGTAATGCTGAGGATGGCTTTAAGCAATGAGTAGTACTCTTTTTTGTGTGTGTTAAATGAACATGAACTTGTTCCTAAATAGTTATTTCTCTCTAATGAGAATTACAAGGACAAAAATCTACTAGAGAATTATGTTACTCATCAACAGCAATAATAAGTAAGGATTTCTTTTGAATTAAGGAGTATAAGAATTGTTGTATCTATGCTAAAAGAAAATTGGACATCAAGACTCACTCAGATCCTTGAACCTCACACTTTTTACTTTTAAAGATACGGTGATTACTTCAGGGTATCCCTTGAGCCAATGTGCCTGACCATTTAAAACCAGAGAATATTTTTTGAAACTACCACTTTGAATTTTCTTCTTTCATTTTTGGGTTCTGAATGGGGTAAGAGAAAATAACCCCAAAATCTCATCTGTGTTTGAACTAAACTGCTTCACACAAGTTTCCTGTTTTGAAATGTGAACATGTTGGATTCAGCACGTGTCTTTCCTCTCTGTTCGTCTTAAAGGTTAATTTCTGCTGCAGCCTAAAATCAACTTTATAACTTGTAAATGTACTAACTTTTAATGTATCTTTTTCCCCCGTTTTCATTGGAACTTACTTCCTCCTATCATGTGTTTAGGTTACTGTTTAGCTAACATGTCACAGAGAGAGTAAGTAGGTCATAAATTCTTTCTCTGTGTCTTTCCTCCCAGAACTACAATGGTGTGTCCGACGTAGAGCTGAGAGTAGCATTACCAGATGGAACAACAGTTACAGTCAGGGTAAAAAAGAACAGTACTACAGACCAAGTCTATCAGGTAAATTAAATTTGAGCAAATAGACTTGACATTGAATGATGTAAAACTAAATGAGTTAATACATATAAAATGATTATATGTATTATAGTTTATGATGTATCATAAATGTCACTAAATGTTAACTACTGTTATTGTTGTTATTATTAATGTAAAATGCTTTGTTTGCCCTCCTTGAAAGAAAGATGCCGTAAAAATCCCAGCTTGTAGTGGTTGTGATTAGGAGCTCCTGGGTAGTGCAAATGGTTGAACTCTTAACTGCGAGCCAAAAGATAGGCAGTTCATCTCTACACAGAGCTGCTTTAGAAGACCGGTCTGGTGGTCTGCTTCTGACAGGTCACAGCCTTTAAAACCTTATGGGGCAGTTCTCCTCTGCCCACATGGGTCCCATGAGTTGGAATCAACTGGATGGCAACTGTCATCAAGTAGCTGTGATTAAACCCCCTCCATTTTTTAATTCTAAAAAACAATATACGTGAAAACAGAATACAATGAACCTCTGGTGGACAAAGTGTGTGTGAACTGCTGTTTGGAAAGTGAATTTGCTCTGTAAATCTTCACCCAAATCACAATAAATTAAAAAAAAAAAAAAAAAAGAACCTCTGGTGGCGTAGTGCCTAAGGCATTTGACTGCTAACCAGAAGGCTAGTGGTTCACACCCAGTAGCCACTCCTCAGAAGAAAGGTTTGGCAGTCTACTTCCATAGTGTTACTACTGCCTCAGAAACCCAAAGAGGGGTTGCTATGAGTCGGATCCAGCTCAGTGGCAGTGAGTTTGGTTTTTTGTTTTTTTTTTAATTCAGTAATTATCAAGATTATGCCAAATTTGCATCATCTATCCTTCCCCCCCCCCTTTTTCTTTAATCCCATATTTCTGGAGCCTTGTATACTTCAGTATGCATCTCTAAAATATGTGGACATAACCACAATGCCATTGGCATACCTAAAAATTAATATTTCCTTGGTATTACCTAATAACTGATCCATAGTCAAGTTTTTCCAGTTGTCTAAAAATGATTTTTACAATAGTTTGTTAAAATCTGGTTCTAAAAAAGGTATCCTCATAGCACATTTGGTTTTTCTGTCTGCTTTTTTTTCCCATGCCATTATTTTGTTACAGAAATTGGGTCAGTGTCCTGTGGAATGTCCCACATTCTGAATTTACCTATTTGTTTCCTTGTGGTGTCATTTAATATGTCCTTCCATCTCCTTATATTTGTTATAAGTGGAAGTTTTCTCTAGAGGCTTGATTAGATTCAGGTTCAGTTGTTTTGAAACTTTGTAATTGGTGCTGTATACTTCATCTTGCTTCTCAACAAGAGGTATACAATATCTGGTTATCCCACTTTTGTGATATTAATTAATAGATTTAGGGGCCATGAATGGTGATAACCTGATCTTTCCATTTTAAGGCACCCCATTGATCTTCAGATGTGTGTATCCATTGATGATTGTTGTCTTAATCAGTGATTTTTTTAAGGGTTGCAAAATGATGATTTTCTACCTCTCTTATTTCTTCCACATTTATTTGCTGGAATTTTTCTTTAAAAAAACTTTTTGTTAACAACTAAGGCAGTTTAATTATCCTGAAATACAGTTTGTACAAGAAAAGGAAGATGAATATTTAATTTTTTCTTTTATTGCTTGTCAGGGTAAAGAATTGGTCCCCTAGTTGATTTCAGTGATGTCCAGTGGGATAATTATTTTTTCAGTCTCATATGGGGTTTTAGATATTCAGTGTGACTTAATCAATAGCATATATTATCTTTTTGATCCTTACACTGTTCCATCCAACAGAAGTACCTTCATATTTGCTCCAGTATTCTTTTGATATTACCCATTTGTTGAAGATAGATTGCTTGCTTTTTGGTACAATAAGCTGCAGCAGGCTCATCTTTATGTTTCCTACCCTAGATCTAGAATCAGCCTTTTACCCAAATAGTCCTGGTTCATTTTGGTGAATGATGGTATTTAAAGTCCATTATGTGGGTGCTGGTATAATCATTGCTTTTAGGCTTTTTTTATTGACCTTTAACCCTGATTTGATCAACTTATTTTCAGGGAGAGTAACAAGTTTCTGCACATTAATGTTTAATTTTCTTTTACAGCAAGCAAATCTCTCCCCCATACATTTACCCATGGACTATATCTGTGGCAAAGGATTTATGCAGGATCTGAGGTTATTTCTGTAATTATATAGTGGTAGAGTGGTTGCAAAGAAAACACTTTTACAGCTTGCTAATGTTTTATTTTCTTTTGCTTTTTTCATGGTTTCTCTGGCAAGGCCCACTATTCTTATACTTTCCCCCAACCTTTGTTTTTGTGACTTCTAGTTAGGAGCCATTTTCAAACCTGAGAGCATTTCCATTTCTATCCAGTGCAGTATAGAGTGATAATTTAGAACACTTGAAATACCTAGTTCCTTCCTCGCATCAGGGCTGAACCCAGGCCTAATGTGTGAGCAGATGTGGGAAGAAGGGATAGAATCATATTTGGTTTACTTAGGTACTAATTAATATTCAACAATTTAATCTTGTTTAATTAACTTTTATTTAGATTGGAATTAAACTTGGAAAGTACTCCTAGTTTGTATTTTTTGCTTTGTGTTTTTGTTTTATATGTGTGGTGGTTAAGTTTGTGTGTCAACTTGGCTAATCCTGGTTAAGTGGCTGGGCAGCTGGATGTAGTATTCCCCATGATGAGACTGGTAATCAATTCCATGGTGGAATCTGCTATGAGTAGCAAGCTGCCTTTGGGTATGTGGTCTGCTTCGCATGTATAAGAAACAGCTTTGGGAATGGTCTCTAGCCTATGGCACACTTGAACCCTGCATGTAGCTGTGTTGTTGTTCAGCAGCCTGCAGTGTTCTGTCGACCTTGGCACTTACAATGGACTTGAATTAATAGCCTGCTGTGTGGTTTGGTAACATCGGGACTGTGCCATTTTATTTGTCAACCTTGGGCTTGTTAGCCTCAGCAGCCAGCAGCTGCCTGAGTGAAGAGATGCCTCTAGCTTCAGTGGGCCGGGAGCAAGAGGCAGAGCTGAAGCCCAAAGTCGAGGGGCTTTTCACACAGCCCCTAGAGCCTGGCATTTGGAACTCGGACTTCCAGCCTCCCAAACTATAAGAGAATAAACTATTTGTTCAAGCCATCCCATTTGTGGTATATTCTTGTCAGAGCAGCACTAGGTAACCAGAACAGTACGTAATTTCAGTTTTCATTTATTTACTCACAATTTTTTCAACTTCATTTGCCCTGTTAAGACCTTGGTTCCTGGAGAGGACTGATACTTGTTTGATATGCCTCTGTTATCCCAACAGTTCACTATGGAAATGGAGGTACCTAATGTCCCAGCCTGAGACATGGATCATCTGAAAATTAAACAAAAATAATTTGTGAAGCATGAGAAAAATTGACAAAAATATCTTAAGCTAAAGAACCAAAGCTGTGTATCTTGTGTGTTAACAACCTGTATTAAATGTAGGCAGAATATGAGAGACTGGATATATAGGTTCTTAAGATTTGTCCTTATCAAGCCCATTTTCTATAAGTGCTGTTAAAAAGACCCTCTTAGGACAGAATCCTATTTTAGAGAGGAAAGTTGGTATTTAAGGAGCTTGTATTAGAGGGGAAAAACTCATATTTAGAGATTATAGTTGTTTGGGTCAAATACAGGTACTTTTTTCCCTTTATAGTACACATGCATGAGTGCATGTATACATACATGTAAAGAAGGGTAGCTATAATTTAATTTTTGTGAAGCCAAGATGGCATAGCCTCTTCTCCCTGCCGTACATTCATATACCTGTTTTTCCCACAGTGTTGTCTGATTTCATTTCCCTGATATTAATCTATTCTGTTTATACTTTAGGCTATTGCAGCAAAGGTTGGCATGGATAGCACAACGGTGAATTACTTTGCCTTATTTGAAGTGATCAATCATTCCTTTGGTAAGTGCCAGTGGCTAATATTAAATTTTGTTTTTGGGAATTTTATTCTAATACTGTTGACTGAAGCTCCCAGAAGCTGTCAGACTGAAACTATTTGCTCAGAGAAAAAGAACTTGAGGACAGGCGGAGACCCCACTTATTAGGTCTGTCTCCAGCAAGCAGACCAGGCAAATCCTGTGAAGCACAATCACTGTCGCTCTTTTATCCTCTTTTATAAGTTACACACACAGCTGAATCAAGTACTTTCATGAAGTTCTTTTAAATCGAAAGCAAAATTTCACACATTCCAATGAAACAATCTTAATAAGAGGTGTTTTTGTTGTTTTTTAGCCAGTGTTTTAGTAAGGATCTTAAAGAATAGCTTTTTGTCTCTAGGAATTAGAATATGCACTTTAGTGCATATGTTTTAAGTTTCTGCTTGACTAGATTTCTACTTCCTACAGCTCTGGTAGCATAGTGGCTAAGACACTTGCCTGCTAACCAGATGGCTGGCGGTTCAAACCCACCAGCCACTCCTCGGAAGGAAGGTTGGGCAATCCTACTTCCGTAGTGATAACTGCCTCGGAAACCCAAGGAGGGGTCGCTATGAGTCGGGGCCGACTCGACGGCACATAACAACAACAACAACAACAGCATTTTATTGCATGGTGACAGGAAATTTCTGTTATATCTTATAAAAGCTAGGGGTGATGGTCACATCGATTGCACATAGGGGAGGAAGTCTGAGAGCTTGCTCTGGATGACAGATTTCCTACAGTTTATGGGTCTCCTCCACAATATTTATACACCCACATGCAAATGCTAAGACCAGCAGTGACTTGGATTATATTGGTTAAACAGACCTCCCTCTTCCCAGAAAGGGGGAAGGAGTCTGGTAGACCTGGGTCCCTGTGTGGCCCCAGATCAAGGTAGAACCACCTTGATCCCTCCTCAAGCAGCCATATTCCCATTATTTTTCCCTCCTGTTCCCTACAGCCTGACTAAAACAAAACAAAAGCAGTTGCCATCTAGTCACTTCCAACTCACGGTGACCCTATGTGTGTCAGAGTAGAACTTAGCTCCATAGGGTTTTCAAGGCAGTGACCTTTTGGAAGCAGATCCCCAGGCTTTTACTCTGAGGCACCTCTGGTGGATTCAGACTGCCAACCATTCAATTAATAGTTGAGCACTTAATTGCACCACTCAGGGACTCCACAGTCTAACTAGGCTCATATAAATTATGTTTGTTGCAAAGGATTACTAGGGAACCAGGACACTTGGATTCTAATCTTAACATTCTTTTCTAAGCTTTGGTTTCACTTTCTATAAAATGGGGAATATTAAATCTGCCTTTTTCAGTATCATAAAGCCAAGGAAATATCAAGAGAAGAAATTACTGAGCCTTTCCAAAGAAAGGAAGTATAGAAATTACAAGTGGTGGTAATTTGTTTTTATCCTGCTTGTATGCTGTTAGGGTTCTTTTTTTTGGGGGGGGGGATAGCAACACCTTTTAGCTCTTAATAATAAAAGGAATTAATTAAGAATTGCCACATGAGAGATTCTGAATACACCATAGCTGGATGAGTAAGAGGGGAAGCTAGCTCACTTTAAAGATATTCAGTGGACATCAGCTCTAACGGACAAATAATGGATATTTTAATTAAATTTGGAGTTAGTGCAGTCTGCAGAGTCAGCATGTTAACTGAAGGGCCTGTCATTGAGGTCAGTTTAAAGCTCAAGTGAGCGTAGTCATAGTTAGAAAAGATAGATTGGCCAGGCACATAGTTATTTTTTGCTCCGTAGGCAGAAGAGCTCTTTGATGGATTTGAGCTGATGTTCTAATCTCATATGGTTAATGGTAACCTGCCATTCTTGATCTGCCTTATACAATTCTTACTAGGAAAATCCTTACACACCTTTTCACTCACTTTGTTTTGTCTTCTCTTTAGTACGTAAGCTGGCCCCTAATGAATTTCCTCACAAACTCTATGTCCAAAATTATACATCAGCTGTGCCAGGTACCTGCCTGACCATTCGAAAGTGGCTTTTTACAACAGAAGAGGAAATCCTCTTAAATGACAATGACCTTGCTGTTACCTACTTCTTTCATCAGGTGGGTAGATTGGTCTTCCTAAAACTACTGATTTCTTAATTTATATGTAGTGGATAATTTGCCAGTTCAAGCTGCTGTGCCCCAGGGTCTTATTTATACTTGTAAAATAACTCATTTCACAAATGATAAATAAGTTTATAAAATGAGTTTTAAAAATAGTTATTTTTTAAAACAACAAAATTATCACTATGGCTTACACATACATACATAAAGTTTAACAGAAAACCAAACCAAACTCACTGCCATCGGGTCGATTCTGACTCATAGTGACCCCCTTTGGGTTTCTGAGGCAGTAAATCATTACGGAAGTAGATTGTCCAGTCTCCCTTACACACAGTGGCTGGTGGGTTTGAACCGCCAGTCTTCTGGTTAGCAGTCAGGTTCCTTAGGCACTGTGCCACCAGAGCTATAGAGTTTAAAGCACCAAATAGTTATGTAAGGTTTGTTAAGAAAAATAGCAGTTGCCCCACTTACCCTCATCTACTTCCATAGGCATCGGCTTTCACCTCTTTTAACTCTGTTTTTGGTTTGGTTTGATTTGATTAGGTGTTTATCTTCATGTCCCTGTTATAACTTGGCTATATTGCTACAACTTGATTTTTCAGATTCAAGCATTATCTCTTAATTTCACATTCTCACACATACTCATAGCATTTTCATCTCTCACATCTTCTTAATATAGTCAATATTCAGTGTTTACATTTTTAGACTCTATAAATAATGAGATGTATGGCAGGGCAATATAGTAAATATCAGGGCTTTGGACCAGTACATTCCCCTAGCTGAGAATTTTTCCTTTCCACTCCAGATACATTGAATCAGAATCTACAGTTTAACAAGATCTCCAGGTGATTCTTATAGATCCCCAGGTGATTCTTAGGTATATTTAGTGTTGCCATTAAGAAATCCAAAGCCATTCTGATTACTGTACCTTTATATGTGACTTTTTTCCCTATTTGGAAGTTAATAAGATCTTTTTTATCTCCACTGGACTCAAATTTCATAATGATATGCCATGCTGGGTGTCTCTTCATTTATTGTGTTGGGCCCTTTGTGGGAAATTTATACCTTTCTGATCTAGAAAATATTCTTGAATAACTCAATTGATCATTTCCTCTTTCATTTTCTGCTTACTCCTTTTGGAACTTCTGACGTGAGACTTCTTGGTCTGCCCCTTTAATTTTCTTCTCTCTCACACTTTAAAGTTTTTCTTTTTGCTCTGCTTTCTGGAAAACTTACTCAGATTTGTCTTCTAGTCTTCCTGTTGAACTAAAAGGAGCTCTGGTGGCATAGTGCCTAAGGCATTTGACTACTAACCAGAAGGTTGGCAGTTCAAACCCACCAGCCACTCCGTGGAAGGAAGACTGGGCAATCTACTTCTGTAAAGATTTACCACCTCAGAAACCCAATGGGAGTCGTTATAATGAGTTAGAATCGACTCAATGGCAGTGAGTTTGGTTTTTTTTTGGTTTCATTATATTTTTTATTTCCAGAGGCTTTCTTTTGTTCTCTAAATGTTTTTTTTTTTTTTGTTACATAATATTCTGTTCTTGTTTTGTGGTTATAATATTTTTTCTTAACTTCCTATGACTATTAAAAATTAAATTAATAATTTTTAAAAAATTTGGTTTTTTGCTTATTACTCCTTTTTTTTTATCCTTTGTTTGTTTGTTTTGGTCTCTATTGTTCATGTTAGATGCTTTACACTAATACAGATGTCTGCTCAAATTTAAGATTGGGAGACTACAGCACTGATTGGAGCTCAGCATGGTAGTGTACTGTGGGTTTCTGCAGTCTTTCACTGGCATTAGGGTGGCAGTCATCTGGCTACAGGGAGTGGAGGAGAAAGGATCTGAGACTTTGACTGCTTCTCAAATAGGCTTTCAATTGATCCTCCTTATTTTAGCCACACACCCACTGCCTCTTCTGGATGACCACCACCTGCCACCAATTCCTGGGTCTTTGGGAATTGTGTGGTATAAGTGTGAGTGGTCCTCCACCTTCTCCACTGTCAGTTTAGACATCAGTTTTTCCAGGTTTCCTAAGTTACTACATGTTCATCTGCATTCCAGATGCCAACATTTTGTTCTGGTTGTGTCTTCCCATTCTCCCTGATCTTGTGGATTTATTCCTTAAAAAAAGAAAAAATCCCTTTGTGGACATTTTATTGGAGTTTTAGGGGGAAGTAAAAGTAGATGCTTGTTTTTAACCTGCCATCCCTATATGGAAGTCTTCTTTTATTATCTTTTCCTACAAGTATTTGTGTGTTGTGTTGGTGTGCCTTTGAGTTGGCCCCGACTCATAGCGACCCCTCCTTGGGTTTCCAAGGCAGTATCACTACAGAAGTAGATTGCCCAGCCTTCCTTCTGAGGAGTGGCTGGTGGGTTTGAACCGCCAGCCTTCTGGTTAGCAGTCAAGTACCTTAGGCACTATGCTACCAGAGCTCTTACACTTATATCTGTGTTAGGTCTTTTTATAGATGTGTAATTTTTACATAGTTATAATCCTAATGTAGATAAATAATTTTGGAATCTTTTTTTTTTTCCTTTTCACATACCTATAAAATTATATTTCATTATAAATCATGGCTGAATTAATGTACTACATGCTGTTTAATCATTCCCTCTTATTAGTTCCAGTGTATCTTTTGAGTGTGTGGTTGTAAATGACTTTGTTGTGAACTTTTGTAGTATCACTTTATATATGTGTTTTCTGTTGAGTAAGTTCTTGTTATTTTCTAATTGTGTTTTTGTTGTGATGTACATTGACTCTTTATCTTAAACTTTAAACATTTGTCAGTTTTACAGATATTTATTCTATTCCTTTTTTTTATCTTAGTGTTACTGATTTGTTTTAACGTTTTGTATAACAGTATTTATCTGTCTTTTCTTTTGTAATTTCTGTTGCTTCATTTATCGGTACATTTTCTCTCCTCAATAGTAAGTATAAGTGTGCTGTTCTTTTTTAATTTCCTATATTTTATTTTTAATATTTAATACTTTAATCTATGTGGGGTTTATTGTGGTATATGATATGAAAGGTTGGTCTAGGTTAAATTTTCTCTGTTTTGCTCTCCAAATAATGGCCCAGCAGAATGTATTAAATGATTCATTTTCCTAATTATTATGCTTGTCTTTTATTAAATTTGTTTTTATATATTGCCTATATTTTGGGTCTCTGTTCTCTTGATCTGTGTTTCTATTTTTGACTCAGTACACCCTTTTGGTTATAATACACCCCTTTTGATTAAATGTTTCTTTATAATACATTTTAATATTTGGTAAGTTTAAAGCCATCTTCTTTTAAAAGGTTTGATATTCTTTAACTTGAGAAGAATCACCATTTTTATTAAATGTAGTATTTCTAACTAGGTGCCTAATGTTTCTATTTTATTCAACTCTTTTGTTTCCTCAAATAAAGTTGAATAGTTTTATTTTTTACTTATGCCCCCATGAAATTAATTTCCCTTTCATGATATTTTTATTACTACTATGAATGGAATATTTTTTCCTTTGTAATGTTAGAATGGAATAATCATGAGCTAGGAGTCAGCATATGTGGTTCAAGTACAAGTTCTGCACTGGGTAAATCCTTAGCATAGCTTTGCTGAGATCTATCTTATGATTTGTTAAAGGAGAAGAATAATACCTAACAGTTTTATTTATTTATGAGTAGAAAAATTTAAAGTGGCACATACTGACTTGGTTTTTGAATTATAAGACTGTAAGACAAAAATATTTAGATATTTAGAAAAACTATTGCTTTTGTAACAGTATCTTGCTTCAAATGATTCTTTGATTCACTAGGTAAATAATTGTATAAATAGTATTATATTTCTTTCCCTTACTAAATTTTGGTTTTTTTTTTTTTTTGTATCATATTTTGATGATGGGAACTCTGGTAGCATAGTGGCTAAGGCACTGGACTGCTAACCAGAAGTCTGGCGGTTCAAACCCACCAGCCACTCCTCAGAAGGAAGATGGGGCAATCTACTTCTGTAGTGATACTGCCTCGGAAACCCAAGGAGGGGTCGCTCTAAGTCAGGTCCAACTCAGTGGCACATAACAACAACAACAAAAAGTTTGATGATGAGACTATCTAATGCTACCATATTTAATCAATTCTAAGATTTCATCGACTATAAAGTGCATCATTATTTTATATACTGCTAAGAAAGGAAGAAAACCTGACAGTTGAACTGACACGTTGTTGAGTATAGGATGCATCCTAGTTTCAGAGATGTTAAAATATGCAACTTAGAATTCATGAGATATTAAATGATAATGATGATAAAGAGCCTTTTTCTTAAATAAATAAATAAAGTCAAAATTCATGATAGAATATATTTAAATGTTGGCTAAACCTGACAGATTGAACACACATATTTAAGTTGCTCCATCCTGAAAGCTCACTAAAATAACAGTCATGGAATTTAAAAAGACATATGACCACAAAGACAAAGAGAAACAGGAGAGAAGACCATAACAGATGAGAAGTGTCAGTAATTTACCAAAAAACTGAAAGAACATTTGAGTAAATTGAGAGGGGTTTTGATGTTTTGTTTTTCTGGAAGAAGAATTGGTGGTTAGGTACATGGAGAGTTACAAATAAAACCTGAGACAATTATTAACATCAAGAAAAACAAATAAACAAAAATTACATAAGAAAATAATTCATAGTGCAGTGTGTAGCTTAGTTGTGAACAATGTTTATATACTTAAAATAATGTAAATACTCAATATTGATTTAATTTTTACTTAGAGGCTGAGAGAAAGGGAGTTTGAGTGGTACAAGAGCGAAGACCTAATATTTTTAACACAGCAAGTCTGGTAAATCAGAAATTATCAGAGTAAATTATGTCATTCAAATTATGAAGGGAAATAATCAGAAGAAACTGCTTAAAAGTGGTTACCTCTGTGAAATTAGGCTCTGGAACCAAGAAACTGCTGCTTTTATTATGAGCCTTTTAGTTATGTATATGTGTGTGTGTGTGTGTGTGTGTATTTTTTAATTACACCTTTTATTTAGAAACAAACTTTAAGAAGATAAAAAGGACTTTAGCATGATGATATTTATTGTTTCTACTCAGGGCTAGTCAAGCAATATAATCTTTATTAGACATGAGAGAGGAGAAAACATTTTTCTGCCCCATGTGAAGATAGTTCTTAAGACCTGCTGGAATAGACAGATGATTACTCTGAGGCTAACATGCCATCTCTGCCTGGGGAGATGTTCATCAGATATTTAAATGCTATTATGAATTGGACACAGCTCTAGGTATTGAGGACAAGAGAGAAATTTAGTATTTTTATTTGGTCATTAGAAAAAGAATTGCAAAGATGTTTTCCTGTACCAAATAACACTCTAAGTTACGTGGGAAACAGACTAGATAGACCATGATTGCTTGTTGTTTTCTTTCCTTCTTTACTTGTTCCCCGGCTTTTCAATAATTGGTTTAAATTTGTCTAGAGCAGCCAAGGTTTTTAGTGATAAATAATAAAGTGTCCAGAGTCTTCAGGACAGTGTGTAGCAGTTCTTTCTGAGTATCCCCTCTCTGAATATTGTCCTCTGTGCCTAAGTGAGCTCTCCTTTGTGTGGCCAGCACTGGGGAGAGATTGACACAGTATTTCCATTAGGCAGTTCCAGGGAGGACTTTAACATCCTTCATGTGGTTTTTAGAACATACTAGCTAAACAATACTAACAGTGATATTATTAATAATAACTATTTATATAGTTTATATACTATATATACTATATATTTTATACTTCCCAGAACTTTTAACATCTGTTATTTTATTGCCCACCTTGTTGTTTGTTGTTGTTATTTGCCGTCGAGTCGCTCCCGACTCATAGCGACCCCTCCTTGGGTTTCCAAGGCAGTATCACTATGGAAGTAGGATTACCCAACCTTCCTTCCGAGGAGTGGCTGGTGGGTTTGAAACCGCCAGCCTTCTGGTTAGTAGTCAAGTACCTTAGGCACTATGCTACCAGAGCTATTCCTGTTTTACAGACTCAAGGTTTAAGTAACTTACCCCAGTGCACATTGATAGGTGACAGAGCTATAATCTTTATGGAAAAAGAAGTCTGGTGGTGCAGCGGTTAGGAGCTCAGCTGCTCATTGAAACATCAGTTTGAACCCACTAACTGCTCCTCAGTAGAAGGTGTGGCAGTCTGCCTCTGTAAAGATCACCACCGAGGAAATCATGTGCAGTTCTCATCTCTCTTATAGGGTCACTGTGAGTTGGAATGGAGTTGACAGCAATGGGTGTTAATATAAATTGACCCATACTCATGAAATAACATCAAAACTCAGGTTACTCAAATTCTCAGGCTTCTGATAAAGGTTCCAGTGCCTGGAACCTGCACAGATTATCCTTGCAGTAAGTCACTGAGCTTGGATTCTGAATGGCCTGGACAAGTGATAATATTTGCTGTTTGTTTGTTTCTCCCAAAGATCTGTTTTCCCTTCTTTTAGATTTTTTGGGGTGGAGAAGAGATTGAATAAGCGTATTTCATATACCTGATCCAGAAGAAATTTAGAAGTAGCATATTATGTGCAGCTATCTTTGTGCCTGCATCAAGGCCTGTTGGATGTTTTTGTTTTTCACTCACTGCCTCAGATTTGTCACTTCCTCTCTTCCAATTACTGTCACCCTAGTTTAAGGCCTTGTTTCGCTTTATACTTCAAGTACCACAACATCGTTGATCTCCTTTATTTCATTCCCTCCTGAACATAATTCATTTGGTACTCCAATTCAGACCAATCTTTCTTTAGAAAAACAAGTTCTTAATGCTTATTTTAGCTCACTGCCGTCTTTCTCCTTAAGTCTAAGTTTCTGTGCTTGCTTTTTAGGATCTTGCATAATCTGTTGTTAACCTACCCATCCATCATTGTCTTTCACTTCCCCTAATATGTACCCTTTATTTAATCTGACATATCTGTCTCCTGAATGTATACAAGCTCAAACCCATTCCTGTTTCTTGGCATTAGCTTGTAGTTTCTCTTCTTCAGTCTAGCCTTCAAGGTCTCACCAAGGTTTCTGTAATATAATTAGAATCAGATCTTCTGTTCTGACTGTATATCACCTACTGTCTACACTGCACATTTTTGTTACAACATTATGTTACCTCTAACACAGTATTGTATACTGTCTTTCATTGTTCTCCAATTGTTTCACGTGTATAAATTGACCAGCGTTTAAGTCTCTGGTCACCAAAAACCAAATCCCTCACACAGTGCCTAGAACAATCCTTGAGAACATTCCAGACACTCCTTAAATACTGGTTATTCCAGGACACATGGCTACGTGGCAGAGCTCACTGATGATGATGATGGTTCAAATGGATAAGAGTTATTCTGAAAATGAATCATGTCTTTTTATTTTTCACGAGAACTTACTTGATAATGACTTTTACATTCCTTTCTCCCTTGCCTTTGTTTTGGTGACAGGCTGTTGATGATGTGAAGAAAGGTTATATCAAAGCAGAGGAAAAGTCCTACCAATTACAGAAGCTGTATGAACAACGGAAAATGGTCATGGTAGGTTTACATTCCCTATAGCCTCTTTTAGGAGCTCTGGAGGTGTAATGGTTAAGGCATTTGGCTGCTAACCAAAAGGTTGGCAGTTCAAACCCACTAGCTGCTCTGTGGAAGAAAGATGAGGCAGTCTACTTCTGTAGGATGTAC